GCCCTGGCACCTGTGTGCTGTGTCCGAGCTCAGGCGACCTCTCGCTGTCAGAGCTGTTGGCTCGTTCGCTCAGCGGTTTGGAGAGCTGTCGGTCTTTCACAGGAGTGCTGCGCTTATGGGGTGTGTGTCCTCCATCCAACCTACACACACACACACACACACAATCAAACTTGGGCTTTGTGTTCTCTGCATTATTTGACCTTGTTTCTAACCTAGTAACATTATAAATGACATAACTACATAAGAACAGTAGTGCACATTCTATTATATAATATTATAATATATTACCTGGGTGACGGCATGGACTGAAGCTCATTCTTGCTGGTTTTTAAGGGTGTTCGTGGTTTTTCAGCCACAGACACTGTTATAGAGGGTCCGACATCACTGAACAACTCCTGATCATTCAGTTCCTACAAAACATAGACATATTCAACACAAAAGAGCATTAACACATCATAACAACTGAAAGAATTTAAATCATGCAAAAACAGATTGAGCCCAGGAGTATTTGGACAGCGTGTAAATGTGATGATTTGTGCATTTAACTTTAAATAAACTGGTGTTTTAGTTTAATAAACACCTTTTTTTTAGGTGTTTTACTTGTACAATCTTTCTTAAAAAATGACGTGGTTCGATTTTTTTCCTCATATAATGTAAACATATGCATGCATTTTGAAGCAACTGAAACTAAAACCATAAAAAACCAAACATTTTTGTTACTTGGAAAAAAAAAAATGTAAAAAAGTAAACTTATTTTATTTCAGCTACATTTTCGTTCAGTACTAAGACAACTAAAACAAAATAAAAAAATAACAAATCAAAATTAATAAAATCTATATAGACATTTTGAAAAAAAGACAAAAACACAAAACAAAATTACTAAAACTTTAACCAACATTAAACTGAAAACAGAAAATATAAAAACAAAATCGTAATGCATAAATGGCACTAAAATAAGAATGTTTTGACTTTTGCTTTAGGCGCTGCTGTATATATGTGTGTGAATCTGTAGTGCAGCGTCTCACCAGCGTGTCGGTCTCAGACAGCGGCTCGTCCAGGTTGCGGCTCCGTGAGTGTTTGAGTTTATCTGACGCCGGCTGCTCGCCCTGCTGGACACACACAGGAACTACAATCACTCACTCCAACTAAACACTCACACACACGTCTGAGGAGCAGGGTCTGTGCATCAGGCTGCATGATCTGGACTGCGGCCTGTAAACGATCGAGCCCTGGCAGAGCTGGAGGGTCATGTTCGACACGCAGCGAGCCGCCCATCCTTTAAAGTGCCCCTATTATGCCATTTCCAATATTGCCTTTCATGCAGTGTGTAATGTAGCTGTATGTGAATGCAAACGATCTGCAAAGATGTAACGATAAATAAAGTTATTATCTCCCAAAAAGAAAGAATCGCCTAAACGAGTCGTTAGTAATTCGAATCCCACTTCCGTGACGGCTACACGTCACTGGGTAACACATTAGCATAATGCGCGCCTATGTTCTACGTTGGCTGACCGCGAATAACTTGACCCCGCCCACAAACACATCATTTTACTGACGACTGCTTCTCTAATTCTCTAAAGAGTTCAATGCGGGATTCACAAAACGCTTGCTCTTGAAAGATGGATCAGTGTCCTGTTTATTTGGACCAGCTGCTACACTGAATCACAACCTGTAAGTATGATAAATAATAGATGCTTATATTTTCTATAAATCGTTCAAAATGCAGAACTATTGAAATAGGCATATCGTTTCCGACACAGCTGTACGCCGTAGACCAATCACAACAGACTGGGCCATCTGACCAATCAGAGCAGAGCAGGCTCACGGAAAGGAGGGGCTTAGAGAGACTGAATCTTTGAACTGCTTCTAACGAATCGTTTGAGAATCGCTGGAAAATGAGGTGATATTAAATGCATATTGCATAGTTTTTTGACCTTGCATGCATGTGATCCTATTGTAGGAGACTACCAAAATAATATTAGGAACCGTAAAAATGGCATAATAGGGGCACTTTAACACCACAGCTGCCATCACGATTCTTATTGTTATACTTCTAAATACACATCATTCTCATTCGTCACGATATTCTCCATTTTTGGTGGCCAGTCTTTTATTTTACTTTGGGCCTCCTTATTGATATTTGAGAGTTGATATAGAAAAAAGCAAAAAAAACAAAAAACTTTTTGTACAATCCTAGTGCCTACATCCAAATAAATCATACATTTTTTAATTATGTTATAAAATACAGACAGAGATAAACATGAAATGGTGAAGAGAACAAAAAAGTTTGAACCCTTTGCTATAGTCCTAGTGGTCTAGAGTAATCTAAATATAAAATAAAATATTAATATAAAATATTAATTAGTGCTGTCAAACGATTAATCACGATTAACCGCATCTAAAATAAAAGTTTTTTGTTCACATAATATATGTATGTGTACATTTACTATGTATATATAAATACACATACATACAGTATATATTTTGAAAATATTTACATGTATATACATTTATATATTTATATTATTATATTTTATATTATATATAAATATGTTTAATATATAAACATAACATTTTTCTTATATGTTCTTAAACATGCATGTGTGTGTATTTATATATATATATATATATATATATATTATGAGTTATATACACTCATATATTATGTAAACAAAAACTTTTATTTTGGATGTGCTTAATTGTTGACAGCACTAATATTATATATATATATATATATAAAATCACAACAGAAATATATTCTAAAATTACTCACCCTTCTCATCGACATTTGGTTTAACTTATAAGTACTAAAATAATTAAAACTAAATAACCTAAAACTAATAAATAAAACAATACAGACATATGAAAATATAAAAACACGACAAAAACACACAACAAAATTACTAAAACTTTCATTAGAATTAAAGTGAAAACCAAAAATGATAAGGAGAACAATAAAGTTTGAACACTTTTCCTACAATCCTAGTGGTCAATAGCCAACTAAATACGAAAAAAATCAGTAAATAAAAATGATATTTTTATGTTGCGTCGGTCTCAGACAGTGTTTGAGTTTAGTTTTAGCTCGCCCTGATATGAAAAAACCAAAACAGATAAAAACGTACCTTCAAAGGACATTGTTACAGAGAGAAAAGATCAGTTTAATGAAGACTAATTCATGAATGTTTTGATGTTAAAAAAACTTCTTCTGTCCCAGTTTAATATACAGAGGCGTGCTTTGCACTCTCTTTACACTGCTAAAAAGAGCCTGCTTGGTCTGAGATGTCAGTTTGGGTTCGTGTGGGGAGTGTTGAGGAGCTCTGGCTGGACACGGTGTAGTTTTGTGATGATATCTGGTGCTGTCGTTGTACTCACGGGGCTGAAGGGGTCTCTGCTCAGACTGCCTTTACTGTTCAAGCTGCCGATCTCTGTCTGAGAGCTCGACTGGGACATTCCCTCGAAGAACGGCCTGCGAAACGCACACGGAGAGAAAGATTTGTTAAAGCATAAATACACAAAGAGTGTGTTATTTTAACAGCACTGGCTCGTCACTCATTTCTGTTCATCTGTCTGTGATCAAAGATTAAGGGAGCACAAAAAAGTCCTGAATCAGCGAACACTGCTTCAGCCTCGGCTCAAACGCATGCTGCACACTCCAGCTTTCTGAAGAACTCATTCAGTAGACAGCAGACTTTAAAGACAGTGAACATCCAGAAGATCATCAAACTTCAGCGCACATCTTATCATCTCCTTTTATGGTGATTTCTGTTCTTTCTGATGCCTCGTATTAATGCATTCAGAATCTGCATTATAATTTTTTTTTTTTATATAGTTTCAGTTTTCATTTAAATTTTTAGTTTTAGTAATTTTTTGTAACGTTTCTATTTAGTTTTTTTCATTTATTTTTATTTCACTTTTAATTTAATTTTAGTACTTCAACTTAAAACGTACAATTGTCTAATTTTCATTTAAGTTTAAGTTTTTATCTAATTTATATTTTAATTAATTTTGGATTTCATATTTAAAATGTATAACTTAAATGCTTTCATCTAAACCATATTGTAACTTCATTAACATTAACAGTTTGCATGTTAACACAACTAAATATTTTCTTTGCCATTTTGTTTCATTTTTAAAGTTGAGAAATTCTTTCAAATCAAGACATGAACTAAACCAGTGTGTTGCCTGTAAAAACATAAATAAATATTTATAAGAATTTTTAAATAAGAGTTATAAGAACGTACAATGCTAATATTACTATTATGAACCGAATTTTCGACCTTTGGATTTTCAGATTTTAATTTTAGTCATTTGATGTGCTTTTGAGATTTTTACTAGTTTTTATATTTCTGTTTAGCTTCAATTTTTATTTTTTTTTATTTTAGTTTGAGTAATTTTAGTACTTACAAAACAAAATAACACTTTTTAACAACATTTGTCTTTTTTTTTCTTTTTAATTTAAGTTTTTCATCTAAAATTTATATTTTATTTCAATTGCCAAAGTCAATTTTTGATAGTTTTAGTTTTCGTTAATAATAACAACACGGGCTCCTAACCACAAAACATCATCTTTTATGTTTCACGAAAGAAAGAACGAGTCACATGGGTTTGGAGTGACATGAGGGTCAGTAAATGATGACCAAAAATAATTACTTTTTGCCTGAACTATTCCTTCAACATCCTAAAGGCCCGTTCACACCAAGGACGATAACTATAAAGATAACGATAAAGATATAGTTCTAAAAATCGTTCTCAATATTAAAGAATAGCAGAGTCCACGCCACAACTATAACGATAAAGACGAAGAGAAACGATATCATTGGAGTCACTTTCAGAACGATTTTTTCCCAGCTGATGAACGATAAAAAATTGACAGCCAATCAGAATCCATCCTGCTGTAACAAGCTCGAGAATTTAAAGCGACAGACGCACGTGCGCTTAGAATAAACAGACGATATCGTTCGCTGGTGTGGACGCTAATATCGTTATCTTTATAGTTACCGTTCTTGGTGTGAACGGGGCTTAACTGTTTAAATAAATCCTAAAAAATTGTGTGGGAGTGGATTGAGGACGCAGCCTCAGAATCAGTTGTGGTTCCAACGAAGTGGTTGCCGAGCAACACACAAACGTAAACAAAGGTGTATGTTACTTTGTAGAGTCATTTACAACAGCTTCGAACGTGGCTCAGCCAATCAGAATCAAGGACCGGAACTCTCCGTTTTAGAATGTTACTGTGTGTTTAACAGAAGTTTCTGTGAGTACCCACTGAATCTCTACAGCAGCTGAGGGTGAGGTGAGGAGGGCAGAGGCTGTGCAGTGAGCAGCAGGGGGCGCCGCAGACAGACAGACAGCTGTGTGTGTTACCTGAGCTTGGGTTTGGGAGTGCTGAGGATGCTGTCGGTCTCCTCCATCTCCGGCCCGCTGTCGCTGGGGTTGTACATCTCCAGACTGTCATAGAGCTCATCCAGATCCTCCTCCACCTCCTGGATCTGCTCACGGGACACGTGCTCCAGCCCGAAACCCACCTGCACCACACACAACACACCGCTTCAGTCAGCACCTGCAGATTCAAATACAGTAATATCCCATATACGACAGCAGAGCAGCAGGCTCTCATTCAAGAAATTCACATTTTTTCCCCATCTTTCCCAGAATGAAAAGGTGTTGAACGGAATGAAACAGATTTTTATCAATATTTGTGACCCTGTCTGTGAAATCCAGGCTAAAGTCTCACAATCTAATTATGAGATAGCAAGCATCAAAGTTTGATTTCAACCATTAATTTCACTATGATTTCAATCTTTGACATGGCCTTACTCTGTCAGTATTAAAGATATAAAGGTTATATTTTCATAGAGTGTTCTACATCTTTATGAAGGATGATTTATGTGGAAAACAGTAAAACACAAAAAAAATGACTTTAGCTGGGTTTTCACAGGCAGGGTCACATTTATAAAAAATGTATTTAATAAAATGTATAATAACATTTAATGCTGGTATCACTGTTATGAACTGTGCATTTTTTTTTCGTTTTATTTTTTGCATTTTAATTTTATTATGTGCTTTCGTCATTTTTATTAGTTATTTTTTTATATTTCTATTTAGCATTATATTTATTTCAGTTTTAGTCATTTCAGTACTTCACTTTAAGCTTATTTTATTTCAGTTAGTTGCCAAGACAGCATTTCAAATTTTCATAGGTTTTTAAAGAGATAGTCTGCCCCAAACTTAAAATTATTTACAGATATGCAAATTGTATTTAAATAAATCTATACATAAAAGGTATAAGAACATATAATGCTAGTATTACTATTATGAACTGAATTCAGTTTTGCATTTTTTCAGTTTTCATTTTAATTTTAGTCATTCTGTTGTGCTTTTATTGATTTTTTTTATATATATTTCTCTTAAGCTTAAAATTTTCTTTATTTCAGTTTTAGTAATTTTAGTACTTCATCTTGAACTTATTTTATTTTTAAGTTAGTTGTTAAGGCAATGTTTCCAATTTCCATTTAAATGTCTTAAGTTTTTAATCTAATATGATATTTTATTATTTCATAGATTTAGCTGTAGATTTTGTTAACAGTAACAACAAAAATGGAGTGACACGAGGGTCAATAAATGATGACAATTTTAAATTTTGAAAAGTTTTTAAATAAAAAAAAAATAAAGTAAACTTTGTTAAAAGTCTTTGTTGTTTTAGTACTTTTAGTGCCATGCAACATTTATGATCATTTCAATATTTAAAGGGATAGTGCACCAAAAATGCATTTGCATTTTCCAGTCTTTTTTCGGGCCAGGTGCGAATGTTCAGGTGTGGGACTAAAAGACAGAGGTGTGACTGACAGAAAATAATAAGGTCACAGCAGCATGATCACAGTCATATTTCAGTGAGAAAGCAAACGTTACCTCATCTGACACCTTAAACCTCTTCAGCAGAGCCACAAACTTCTGCTTGATGTTCGGTTGCTGGAGAAAGAAAAAGCAATAAAACATTTACAACAAAATTCAGACAAAATACTGTATAAAATCTGCCAGTATAAAGCTTAAAGTCAACATCAAATCAAAACTAATCCTATTTTCAGACTTAATGCGCATTCCTGATCACACTGTGATTCATCTGAGCATTTGTTTTATTTGAACTAAGATACAATGCTAGAAAAGTGGCCTCTTTAATGGTAATGGTGTGTGTTAAATGGAGCTCAGTGCGGTCGTTCATATTCATTAATGCAGTGATCCAGTGTGTGTGTGTGTGTGTGTGTGTGTGTGTGTGTAAAAAAAAAATTTTAATAAAAAAATATAAAAAAGTCTTTAAGATTAATTTATTTGAAAAAAAAAAATGAAAATTTGTATACAAACATAAATGTATTCATTAAAAACTGAATAATTGATTTAACACACACAGTTGACCTACATGATGAACGGGGTCGTCGCTGCCCTCCTGCTCAGATGAGTAACTCTCCTCCTCTTCCTCGGAGTAGTTATCAATGTCTGGAGAACGATCTGAGCCCAAGAAAACCACAGAGAAAGCATGAGCAACATTATACATTCATTTCATTCACTTTACTTACACTGAACTTGCAGATTACAGTCACATGACTCTGGAATACCTCATTCTGATTGGTCAGTCGCTTTTAACCGCTACACCAAACCAGTAAAGTCGCTGGTGTCTCACCGTTCATCTTGGCTTTGGGTCCCTCGCGGTCGATGGGCTGACTGGACAGAGAATAAACCCGGATCTCAGCCACCGGGACGGACACGTCCTTCAGCTGACTGTGCAGACCCAGAACCTGAGCGCCTTCGGTGGGGTGCTGCATCACCTGACAACACCAGCAATCATCAGTTAACACAGGAACGAGTCAGAGCTGTGCTGCGTCTGTCTGCGCCTCACCTCAGCCATGTTGATGAGGCCGAGCGCCAGCGTCTTGTAGCCCAGGATGGTCCTGTTCTTGTACCTCTTCCTCCTCTGCAGCATGATCTGAAGCTTGTTGGCGTCTCGTTTCAGGAAGTGCGGATACTGAGAGGACACAGAGACGACTGTGAGTGTTAGTTTGAGGCCATACGCACGTGAAGAGACTGTGCTGACACTCACCTGTAAGGAGAACGTGAGCTGCAGGTCTGTCTCCGTTTGGCCGCTCGATGGCAGGAGGATCTCATTGGAACGGAGGATCCGCTTTGAGCCCTGAAAGAGAAACCGAGAGGACAGACAGATGGTGAATAAACATCATTAGACGCGGGAAGCGCTTCGTCTTCCAGATCTGCGTAAGACAGCAGAAAACACAATTAGAGGACTGTAAGATTTCTTTATGTTTTTGAAAGCAGTCTCTTGTGCTCATCAAGGCTGCATTTATTTGATCTAAAATACTGTAAAATCAGAAATATTGTGAAATATTATTACAATTTCAAATAAATGTTTTCTAGGTGAATATATGTTAAAATGTAATTTATTTCTGTGATCAAAGCTGTATTTTCAGCATCATTCCTCCAGTCTTCAGTGTCACATGATCCTTCAGAAATCATTCCATTTTATGACGTGCACAATATGCCCAGAATGTGCATTTAAGTGAACAGAGTTGATTTATGTTTCATGTTGAGCGAGAAGAACGAGTAAAAGAATGCCTCACCTGCAGTTTGACAGCGATGACCACAGACGTCAGATCTTTATCCAGCTCCTTCAGCATCACCAGCTTCTTCAGAGTCAGATTGAAGAGCCTGCCAACACAATTCAATCCAATTCAGTACACCATGACACAATATCATAACAGCTTTCAATCCATTCTAATGGGACTGATGCAGTTTAGTGGTGTGGTGAAGCGCGGCTTTATCGAGATAGAATAACAGCACATGAATAAACAGGTGTGTGTGTCGTTTCTGAGGGTCAGGGAAGGTTAGCGAGCGCATTATTTACAGTCACACTCTCGCCGGCTCCTGAAATACAGGCTCTTCTGACAAGAGCTTCTGCCATACGGATCAATAACAATCTGAAGCAGCTATTGACCAGACGACAGTCACACACACACACACACAAACACGAACACACACACACACACTCTCTCTCTCTCTCTCTCTCACTCACTCACTCACACACACACGCACTCACACACTCACACACACACACCCTCACACACACACACACACACACACGCCACTGAATATATAATCAAAATGTAACAGCATAATAATGCAAGAAGCTTTTCCTAATTGAGATTGTAGATAGTGTCAATGGTCCATTTGAGAGATAGGTGGTGGTAATGCACTTATAAGTCTGCGATCCGCCGTAAAGCAAACCCTCTCAAAGCCGTGATTCCCATTCACTTGCATTATAAGACTGACAGACTGCAACGGTTTGAGTTAAAAATCTCCGTTTGTGTTCTACTGAAGAAACAAAGTCACCTACATCTTGGATGCCCTGGGGGTAAGCAGATAAACATCACATTTTCATTTTTGGGTGAACTATCCCTTTAAATACAGTGTCCATATATTATATTAATTTAATTACACTAAATGTTATGTGGCTACTATTCCATATATAGTATTTTAAATTTAGATTCAAGTATTTAAACAAATATCAACTTATTTAACATCTATTACAACGCTCTACAATGCGGGTAAATCACTCGCAGTGGGTTTGATTATTGCTTCAGTTCACTCGACTGTAAAGCTGCGCTTGCAACACAACAAACGAACGAACGAACGAACGAACAACTCCTGCACTGCTGCAGCATCAGGTCACGCTACACCGGAAACACTAATGCTTTCAAACAGCGACTGAAAATATTGCTAGTTAAGTTATTCACTCCTCAACACTGACGGCTGCACAACAAAAGAGGCCGAAACCTATCGTCACTCGCTCTTGTGCTTGTGCAACGGAAGCGAAATATTGTGACATTAGTGCTTAATTCATTGTGAAACGTACACGGCAACAAAAGGAAGAAAGCACGTAGTGATGGGTCGTTCTTGAACGATTCGTTCATTTTGAACGAATCTTTAATGTGACTCGGGAAGAACGAGTCGTCTCGGGGAGTGATTCGTTCAGTCGCGCATGCGCAACATCCTATAGGTTCTGTACTGGAATTAGTCAAGTAGTTCACCTGTTTCGAGTCTTCGGGTTTTTCGAGTCATTCGTTCATCATGTGACAGCCCCATAAGTTTAACCAATGCAGTCTGAGCCGGAAAGAGAATTGATTAGTTCATCTCGAGTCTTCGGGTTTACTAATACACTGCTTAAAACTATAATTGTTCAGAATGTGTAGTTTTACTAGTTTACTAGCTAATAAAAAAACTTGTAATCGTTCAAAAATTTAATCGTTCAAAAGTGTTCAATGTTGTATATAAAAATAATTATTTATATATATTATGCATTTATATTATTTTACGAACAAATCTACATTAACATATAAAATATATTTTTGCAGAGATTTGATGTAGTGACACAATTTTGCGTTGTGATTGCGTAATGACGTCATCGCGCAATGACATCACAACGTCATTTAGCAACTTTTAGCAACAAATCGACCTTCCTTTAGCAACTTCCCCTGAAAATTAGTTGGCAACACTGAGCAGGAGAAAGCCTCCGCGCTCCGGGAACGCTGACGTCACGAGTTCAGGAGGAACTGGAAACCCAAGCTCGATTAGTCATCAGGATTTCAGGGCAAACACTGCAGCTAAACGCTTGTTATACAAGCCAACGGGGCTTTTAGTGCGAGAAACACGACCACAGCAAACTGAATTAATATTAAAGAGCGACATCAGTTTCAGACAACAAGCGTCGAGATGAACTCCTTGCATATTCATCCGCGAGCTCTACTTTAAACATGCTAAATAAAGACGCTCGACGTCTGAAACATCCAGCAGATGGACGTGTGTTTCTGCACAGCATGGACAAACTCTCAGAAACCCAGACCGAACCACACTGAACACTCGAGCTGCTTTCTTTGATTAATAATGAATGATCCTAACCGCTCCAGTGTGTGTGTGTGTGTGTTTGCATTTACAGGACGTCACACCTTCAACACGGGTTTATCTTCCATAAATCGGGTTATTACAGTCATAAAGCTGGAGATAAAAGCTGCAGGGGTTCATAAAGTCTCAATGGACGGCTCCTGAAGTTTAGGAAGATCAGATGAACTGCAAACACTGCTGAGCTTGTCTGGTTTGTAGTGTTTGGTTGTGAATGCATTTCTACTGTTGTCAAATGAAGAGAAACACAATAATTACATCAAAACCTTAAACTAACACTCCTAAAACAGAGATTTTCATTTTTTAAACAATATGTGGCCCAGTTTGCTAGTGTACACCAACCTCAAGCATATTCTACCAAATTTCTGAAACACAAGCGCAGATATATTATTTAATTTAAAATAATACAGTGCTTATAACACACATATAAGCACTATATTATTTTAGACGTACCACCACGGTTCAAACATTTAGGGTCGGGATGTTCAGCACAGGGTTTGGAAGAAAACATGTCAAGCTTGTATTTTTGTTTGCATGCAAAAATTCTTCAAAAATAAAAATTGAATAATACAAATATGCAAAAAAAAAAAAAAAAAAAAAAAGGGGAAATAGTGACAATAGATGAAAGGAACCGCGCTTCTGAATCAGCGACTGTACG